TTGTTTGCTTTTGTTTTTGGTAATCTTTTGATTAGCAGCTAAAGTCATATAATAAAAAGAGCTGAAACAGGAAAAATCTGCTTCAGCATGCCTCTGTGGACTTAATGTGCCTGCTGCTATACTGATAAGTTAAATATACTGGATATTCCACCATTCTCAAGTGTGCTAATGGGTTTCATTCACCAGAAGTGATATAACTTCAAGACTCAAAGCTATTTGAGTAACTTCCTCCGGAGTACAGAATCATCATTATCATAATTTCAAAACCATCAAGCTATCCCTTGTAGACCCAGCCTTGATTACAGACTGGCTTCTAGCATACATGCTGTTGCTTTATATGCCACCAGTTAGTTCCAAATCATAGTGACCTTATGTACAATGGGATGAAACCCTGGTTATGTGCAATCCTCACAATCGTTCCTATGCTTCAGCCCATTGTCGAAGCCACTGTCTGTCCACCGCATTGAGGCTCTTCCTTCTTTTTTTCTTTTGCTATCCCTGCACTTTACCAAGCACGGCATCTTTTCTCCATGGACTGGTCTCTCCTGGCAACATGTCCAAAGTATGTAAGACAAAGTCTTGCCATCATTGCCTCCACGGAGCATGCTGGCCTTACTTCCTCCAAGACAGACTTGTCTGTCCACTTAGCTGTCTTGGCATTTTCAGTACTCTTTACCAGCATCACAATTCAAATATAGCCATTCCTTGGTTTTTCTTATTCAATGTCCAACTTTCACATACTTTGAACTTCAAAAGTTCGTGGAAAAAAGGAATCCAAAGAAGATAATGCACTTTCCCCACAAACTTCTTATAATGTCCTCTTATATCCTCTTTGGACACTGTCTCCAGTGCCTGCATTACACTTGCCCCACTGCTGCCCCCCCTCCTCCACACATACATAAAAATGGTCTCTGGTATCAGCCTGCAAGTGCCAGGGAGCCAAAACCATGAACAGACCTCTGTAATATGTGCTATGGGAATATATTTGAAATACGTTTGAAAAGTTCAGCTCATGACCCACCCCTCCCCTCCAGAAGCTTACATCCTGCTTCAGTGGTGCCAGGGTGATGCCACCAAGAAGCAATGAGCGAGCCATGTGGCACCGCCACACCCAGGGGCACCAGGGCACACAGGAAGCAATAATCACATCAGTTCCAGGAGGGTGGGCCCCTTGTCCCTAACAAGGGTGCCTCTGCGCTGCTTCTAGAGCTGTCCCTCCTCTTCTAGTGGCCTTACTCAAGAAATAGGGAAACATTCTTTTCTGTCCTTTGGTTTCAACTTTTGTACGGTCTACCCTGTCTAACTCCGCTTCTTCCTACATGCCAGAAAAACCAGCCCGTCACTCAGGCAAGTCACTCCCATTTCGGGAATATTGGTCTTCAGCCACTTGAAATTCCAGCAAACTACTCAAGTGGCCTCCCTGGGAAGTTCTTTGTAAACCTCTGTAACAAACAGGCACTCTCCTTTGAATCCTTTCTCGTCCCTTCTGTGTCTCCGTCTACGTGTTCTGTTGATTCAGACTAGGCAGCCAGTGAGCAGAGACAACATCTAATTATATTTTCCACCGAAACATTAACATGTTATTAATGCTTGGCAAGTAAGCAAACTAATAACATCCTTATGTTTTTCTTTTCCTTTTCTCTACCTCCCGACTGCACTTGCAAAGAGAGATTTTGAAAGTGTTAGCAAGGAAAGATACGGTCTCTTGGGGGTGTCTGAGGTATTCCTACCCTGCTGGGCAAAGTCTGGTCTTTTAAACGGGGCATATCACGATGAGCCCATAGTCCGTCGGTTTGGGGTTGTTATTTTTCTCTCTTACTTCACTGGTATCAGAACAGAAGTCATCGAAAAGGCTGTTCTCTTCCCCAAATAATACACTGGCCACTTCCGCCTTGGCTCGGTCCTAAAGCCGGACGTCCCACGGCCTAGGAGCTTCATTCCACAATAGAACAAGAGTCCGGATTCTCCTTTTCTTTATGTGCCCTGCCCCCACCCTCCCTATGCACATGGCCTGCCCCCCGGCTCCCCAGAAAACCCTCCAGCCTGGCCAAGGCTCACCTCCTTAATACTCCTCAGAGATTCCAAGTTATCTTACCCCAGCTGCCCCTGAACTTTACCCATCCACAGAGGTCTGGGCAAGTCATACAGTTCTCAAGAAATGGCCTTTAAATGCCGTAGCTCTTAGGGAGGACTCATTTATTTGCATTTGGAGTCTGATGTAGTGAAACACATGCTCTTTCCTCCACTTCAGTCCCCTCCCCAGGTCTCACATAGCTTTAGAGACCCTCTCTGCAAGCCATCCTTTCCGAACTGGAAAACGGGAAGTGGGAGACATGGCCTAACACCAAACCAGAAATCAGTATAAAATCTACTTCCAGAAGTCCCTGCGGGCAAAGGCTGGGGTTCTAATCCACCCAGAGGTACCACAGAACAAAATCCTGAAAAGTCTGCTCCTGAAAGATCAGTGTTTACAAACCAAGGAGAACAGTTCTGGTCTGCACATCAGAGCTGGCCTGAGTGCGGATCTGCTGGGCAGCAACTGGGTTGGTTTGGGGGCATCCTGGTTTGCCCAGTTCCCTGAAGTTCTGCAGCAAGAATCCAACATGTGGTATTTTTCTCACTGAAGGGCGCACCCCTCCTCTGGCAGGAAGCAGAAAGTGGCCCATCATTCCGCTCTCCCCATCCACAGTTAATAGGAATGTATTTAATGCTGATTTGATGATGTCTAGCGCTGTTAATTGTAGATCTGTTGTAATTGCTTTGGTTTTTTTTACTATCTCCTCAATGCTACATTCAATAAATACTCACCCAGTCCCTAAACAATTAAAAAATGCCACAGCCAGAGCACAGAATATTAATAGGAAGAATTGATATCAGGTAACTGACCTCTTGATTGGAAAACTAATTGGATCTTCTCTGGGGGGAAAAATGTTTTCAATTTTCTGATGCGACTCTTCCAGCTCAGGTGATAACAGAGCAGTGTTGGACACTGCCCCAGGACATTTTTGTAACACACGTGGCCACGATGTTTTGTTTTCTGAATAACAAATGTCCCAAGAACAAGTCGCTGTTCCTGGGACTGTGGAAGACCAGATGATCAAAAGTTGGCATCTGTCCTCAATAATCTAGTAAGGTGACTGAAAATGAACAGAAGCATCGGAATAAAGGAGGAAAATGAGGGACTGATAAAAGGTCATGGAATTTCAGAGCAAAGTTAAACTCCCTGAGGTGTGTGTATATGTGTGTTGGGGGAAGGTGGAAGGTTAGATAGCAATAAAGAACATTTGTGTTTACAAACCAATGCACCCATTGCTAGAATTTTTTTAATTTCAATAGATGGCTTGCTTCCCTTTTCCTGCACATTCCACTCACTTCTTCAGCACTTTTTCATAGATGCTTGCTTTTAAGTTTTCTCTAAAGAGATCGTTTCCTTGGCCTTCATCAAAATATTGCTGACCCAAAAATTAATGCTGAATAATAATATAATTGTGCAGACTTACAATACTTTAGATCCGGAAGCATCTTCATCAATGCTGTTATGGTCATTAACTATTAAAAGTTAGGGACACCGTGCTGGTGGTGTTTGTGCATTTGTCCACGTGCGGGTTATTAGGGTTCATTTCATTGCGCACTGTGCAATCTCAGGTTCAGAGGAATTTGTTGAGTGACAGTGACAACTGGCATTTGTCAGCATCATCAGACAAAAAGAAAATCACCAGCTAAGCTTTCCCATCTAAAATTACTTACAAGTTATTACACTTGAAAACTCAGGTTCCCACTGGTATACGTGCCATTGAAAACAGAACATGCCCTGGGAGCCTGTCTCCCCTTCACTCCATCAGTGGCACCTGGTTCCCCCCTCAGACACAAGCTAGCCTTTCTTCTCCCGTCCCTGGTTCCCAATTAAAAAGCAAAACAAAATGCACAGCTGTTAAGCCAACCCCATGTGTAGACCAGCTCCATTGGGTATTCTTAGCCGTCGCCTTTGCCAAAGCAGATAGCCAGGTCTCCCCCACCCCCACACCGCAGCACCCCATAAAGTTACTGAGTGGATTCAAGCCACCAAGCTTTACCTTAGTAGCTGAGATCCCAATAGAAGAACAAAAGTCAATCATGTGTCTTTCCATCCAAAAGAGCCACAGCCTCTGATACAGGTCCTTCAACACTATTTGGCTTCAATCCTTTGCTGCAACTCTGACAAACACACTGAGGGCATCAGCAAACAGGCGGAAGGAAATTGAGGGGCTGACATGGACCCGTCATGGCTGAATCATTCACGCTGCCCTGTTTCTCAGCTGTGATTAACCAAGGGCCCCTGGGCTCATCGTCAGGGTCGTGGAAGGAGAGAGGAGCTGACACTAACGCATCCTGCCCTGCATCCCAGAGAAGAACCTCATGGCTGAGCAACGCAAGATTTAACAAGTGGAGAAAGCCCACTGAGTCTCTTGGGGCCAACGCACAAAGAACACAGAATATTCTGGATACCAGCCGGAGCCTGAGAATGATGCTCCCCTCCCCAGCCCTGCCCGTGTACAGGTATGCCTTATTTTATTGCACTTTACATTTTTGCACTTCATATATATTGCATTTAAAACCAAACAAATCAAAGATTTATGTCAGCACTATGTCAAGCAAGTCTATCGCCGCCATTTTTCTAACAGCATGTGCCCACTTCCCAACTCCGTGTCATGTTTTCATAATCTTCACACTATTTTAAACTTTTCCACAATGCCATTGCACAGTCAGCTGGTGAAAAAATAGTGACGACATGACTTTTTATACAGATTGGAATTCCAGAAACATTTGTGTGCCTCACTGTATGCTGATATTTGCTTTCCTGCGGTAAAGAGAGCTGGTGTGATCTCAGACTGTAAAGCCTCAAGCCCTGTGATTGGTAAAACCTTGCCCAAGTCCACAAGGGTATGGGACAGGGTACTGCAACCAGGCACATCCTGCCCATTCTCCCATTTAATAACACTGAGTAGGAAAACTGTCCTTACCTCATAATGGGCCACGCGCTGAGATTCGGATATCAGTTGTGCACTGCACACCTTGCAGTAACTGTCTGTAAATAAATCCTGATCGATATCGGAGGACTTCATCAGGCTAAGGAGAATCAAGAGGAAGCAAAACAAAAAGTGAGTCCACTGCCCTGCCATTTGTGCAAGACATTAGCAATGTGAAAAGGCCGAGATCAAAGTAACGGGCCTGCTGATGACAGTAGCCATGGTAGAAAACCAAAAAATCCCATCCCAACTCATAGTCACCCTGTGGGACAGAGCAGAACCGTCCCTCTGGGTTTCTGAGGTTGTACATTTTATGAGAGCAGAAAGCCTCATCTTGCTCACTTGGGGAGACTGGTGGGTTTGAACTGACAACCCTTCAGTTAGCAGCACAACAGGTAACCTAATATGCCACCAGAACTAGTGTTCCCTAAATCCTCTGCTGTGCTATCAGTCAACTATGCAACATGTCCATATTGTTAATTTTCTCATAAATATCAAATAGAGTTGCTAGTACCTTTACGGAAATAGGAATGTCGCTTTAATGTTTCTAGTCAAATAAACCAAATTTATGTAGTGCTTTGTCAAAGATTTACATGAGAGGATATTGCCTGGCATTTATATTAAAAGAAAGTTACAGACACTCCAATTATATGAAATTACTTAAACAAAATTTGATACTGCAATAGATTAGAACACTACACAGCTCCTGAATCTAAATTCAACGAAAATTATTCTTTTAAGAGAATATTAATATTTTATTGATAGCTAAATAAGAGAATGCTAATAAAAAATAGTTCATCACTAGCCACAAAAGAAGTCTACGTAGCAGCATGCACAGTATTTGTTTTTGCATGCACAGTATTTTGCAGAATTGTTTAACTATGTATCCATTGTACACAAACAGTGCAAGAAGTTTTAACACCACAATCATATCAATTATCTTTGGGAGATCGTAGGTAATTACTCTTGCAATGTTCTCTGTTTAAACATATTTCTATATGAATATACATTACATTTGTTATCAGGAAAGCACATGAAATTGAGTTCAAAAATTGCACCTAGAAATTTCAAAGCTGAAACCAGACTGACTATAACTTGCCCTGTAACCGTGTACTCAGAAATGTGAGCAGGGGATCTCACCTTTCAGCACCTTCTCTTCTATTTTCAAGGCTGTTGAAATTCATAAAAGTTGCCTCCACCACTCCACACCACAATTGAGTCCCAGACTAAATAAACATGTCCTCAAATTCCAAATTCAGAATCAAACACAGCCAAGGTTTCGGCCTTCAACAGTGAGCTATCCCAAATGACGGGTCTTACAGAGGTGGAAGGATGTTACCATCCTAGAAACAAACCAGCACACCCCAAGAGTTTTCACCCAACCCTCCTTGAAGAGTCTTATTGAATATCCAAAAGACAAACATAAGGCAGGTGCTGTATGAGCTGAAATATTCTTTTCATTTGAAAGGGATTCTTGTCATGCTTTTTAAAAATAGATTTCTGATGAAATAAAGGCTAGGTGGTATTATAATAAAGAAAGCAAAGACAGGTGAGGATTGCTACAAAACTACATCTTGACCAACACAATGAAATACAGGATTGTGGTGCTTTTATATGATTTTTGTAACCAACTACATAGATAGCTGGGCCACATAAGTAAAGTCACTGGTTAAAACAATAAGCTCCAAATTCCCTGTCAGTCCTTGACCTTGGCTGTAATCATCCATTAAGACTGTTATTGAAAATACAAAGGACTCATGGTTTATGGCCTAAGGGCTTTTACAAAGCCCAGAATGACCAATAGTTATGCCAGAGAGTAACAATCACAGGTTGGCTCTCACAGCTGACATGAACTTTTCATTTCAGGATGAATCCTTCAATAGCATTCCTGGCAGATGGCTTGGCCAATCTTGGGTCTAGCACCCACGGGGCTTGGAGGCTCACTACCTCACACAACAACCTGTTTCACAATCTTGCAGTTCTAGCCTTTAGGTTTTCCACTTGTTGAATCCTCACCCACCATAACTTTCAGAAATTGGTTCTGTATTTGGGGACAACACAGAACAATTCTACTCTTCCTTTGCACAAGAAATCTCCCCCGCAGTGTCTGAAGATTAAAAAAAGAAGTGGCCACTGAGTCTATTGCAATGGATGGTGACTTCCTTTAGGGTTTTCGATATGATTCTTGTGAAGCTAACCACCAAGGCTTTCTTCTGAGGCACCTCTGGGTGGATTCAAATTGCCAACCCATTGGTTGGGAGCTGAATGCCTAACTGTTTCCCCAGTCCACAGATGCTCATTGAAAGAGAGTTCTCTTCTCTCTCTTCCTAACCCTGTGGGAAACAGAAAGATTTCTCCCAAGTTCTCCGCCCCCCCCACCCCCACCCCAATATATGTTAGACTTAGGACACTGCTTGAAACTACTGGTAAATGATTGTCAAGTTGTCTCCCTGAAGTCTCCAGCCATCCAGAGCAAGCAGATACCATTGTTTCTCCCACAATAGGCAGGGCTCACCCCTGCTGGTAGGGTCAGTAGATTGCTTCCCCTGAAAGCTTAGGCTACATAAAGTCTCCAGTACTAGGACCATCAAGGTTAGGCTGCCATCCTGAATCTAGGGCCAGCCCATGTTGTCACACATACACCCTTAATCCCTCCTCTTCCTATAGCGTGTGTACCCCTAGATCATCCCCCTCCCATTTATTGTATCGCCTATAGCACAACCCTTTCCTGTGATGTATGTCTTCATCTCTAGTTAGGGGGTTTGCACATCCTCAGAGAATAGAAAAGCCTTGGTTAGCAATAAATCTTGCTCTTTCCACATGGACCACCAAGCGAGGCTGAGGTGAGCATCCTACCATGAAATGTGTCTGACTCCATTATTTCAATCTCTCATGCTCTCTATGACTTTACTATAATCTTTACTTATGATCCCTGTACAAGTGTGCCTATGGGCCCTGTGATGATGTGTTAGGGGCTCCCTCCCCTGACATGACCCCTACTCTGCCTTACCATTCTCAGTCTGCATCTGCTCCATTGTGGTCCACCATCAAAAGCAGCGCCCAAAACCGAATAGAGCATCTCAGACCTGGTCTTTCAGGGACAGAGCATCAGAACTTTGGATTTTCTGTTAATTGTCATTTGTAATGGTCTCCCTTCACATATTGGGACGGAAATGGAGACAAGGTGTTTTGATGATGGGGATATGTAGTACAACGTTTTGAAAAGTCAAATGAGAAAAGAAAACTGACTAAGGTGTATTTTTAAAGCAAGCTCCTATAAGGGATGGCATTTAAATATCATCGTGTTCCCTTCTATTTCTAATAAAGAAGTGCACAAAAATAGATTCCTGGGTGACCTGGTTAATAGGAGTCTCCACACTCTCTGCATACTCCTTCCTCGTTATACAACCGACTGGAGAAATCAAACACTGTGGACGATATTCAAGGTACGTGTCGGACCGAGCGGGCCCGTAGGAGTCAGAGTCTCGACAAAGCAGCTGTGCAGCAGAAATAGCTTTAAAGGCAGAATATAAAATGTGCATACTAAAAAAAAACTCAAAAGAAGGGGAAGACAGCATGGTTTTTTCCATTGTTTTATATAAGGGTATTGATTTGAGTAAGCTCACAGGCAACAAAAAGGCAATAAAGACCCCCCCCCACCCTGTGAAATCTGTGAGGCCCAAATGGAAAACTCAAGTAAGTTAAATTCCAGTGAGAGGCAATTAGTGGACCAGTGTGAGCCTGGTTTGTGCATGAGGCCTCTTCTCCAAGAAAAGAGAAATCTCTTAGAGCAGGTCACTTAGACAATCAGAAGGTCCGATTTATGATACAAAGATGAGAATTGCCAAGAGGGAAGGCTGTCCCTTTATCCCATCCTCCAGCTTGTTTAGAATAGAATCCTGAGCTCCACCAGCCTTCAGATGTCCCAAGGAGCTGGGAAGAAAGAGAGGCAGATCCAATTGCCCTTTGGAGCCTTGTCCAAGGTGCTGACCAGAGTTTGTAGTGGAAACAGGAGTATTGCTCAGGGAGCAGAGGGTGGTGACGGCTCTTCCAGGAGCATGCTGCCTGTGATATGTCCCCAAGACCTTCAGAAGAGGAAGATAAGAGTAGAAGGGCTGGCTCTATCTTCCCGGATCTGAAACTCACCTGAAAGGCGATTTCCAACATGTTCCCCAACCCAGGCCGATTCCAAAGTGAACATCAGGAACTCATATAACCTCTGTCTCATGACTACCTGCAGAGTACAGGGCTGTCTGGGTTTTAGTAAAAAGGCCTAGAAGTGGGAGGTAAGCAGAATTACACCAGGGAGTCTGGCCAGATTCTAATCTTCTGCCCACAGATCCCTGCATTTCAACAGCCCTATTATGTATGTGCATAGCAGTGACAGTACCAGGCTCAGAAGTGTAACCAGGCATAGTAAGAAGGAAATAGAGGGGAGAGACCATCATGGTCTGCTACATGTGAACCTTGGGGATCACAGAAGGCACCCCTCCTGTGTTCCCAACCTGAGAAGGGAGATGTGCCCACCCATACCTGTGATGTAGGCAGCTCATATAATGAGGCTGGCGAAAAGGGTACAGGAATCCAGAGATCAGTGAGAGATTATTAAAGAACTCCTCACCGAGAGGTACAAGAGTTGAAAATTTAAGGACATACTGATTAGGGTGGATGGAAATGAGCTCCAACTCAGAAGCTACCTCTTTTCCCTGGCACGGGGAACAGTCTGCGGAGCAGTTCGCATGAGAAGAGACACACAGAGGGGCAATGGTGGAGCCAATCTGGGACTGTACACCATAAGGGGCTTATGAAATGCCAGGAAGAGTAGGGTACATACATCTCCAGACCCAGATGGGAGGAAGAGAGACGGGGAGAGCAGCCAGGCCCTAAAATGCTCCCCAAGGTACAAGAGATTGTCTTTTTCGGGATGCCGCAGCATAACTCTCTCGTTTCTTTCTGCTTGTCATGCAACCGATTGTAGAAATCCAGAGAAATATGAAGATTCATTGGAAAGAGCAATTTTCTTTATTTCCAGTACATTTCTGAAGGGGTCAAATAATTTACCACCCAAATAACCTTCACAGGGCTCTCCTGGAGACATTA